TTCTACCCTAGTAGTCTTATGTTTTTTTCTTTTCCCTCTCTGGTTATTTTCTTGCTTTTATACAGGACCTACCCTGGCTTTTTCTGTCTAGTATATATAACATAATCTATACGATATATATATATTATATATATATATAACATATATATATATAAATAGACCAATATATATATTATACAAATTATATATATAATACATATATATATTATAATATACTATATACTATATATGTTTATATATATATTGAATAGTTATATATAATAGTACACAAACACACCACACCACACACATATATATATATATATATATATATACTATATAGATGTTATATATAATATATATAATAGTATATATATACATATATATATATATATACACAACACACACACACATATACACCCACACCACTCCAACCACACACAACACAAACACACACACACACAACACCACACACACACACCGCACCACCACACACACACACACACATACTACATATATTATATATTATTATATATATCTGGTGCTGTTTTGTTTGTGCCGCGTGCGCTTTGGTGTTTGTGTTTGTGTTGTTTTGTGTGTGTGTGCCTGTGTGTGTGTGTTTGTAAGCAGGTTTAGACGAGAGAGAAGAGAGAGAAAGCAGAGAGAGAGAGAGAGAGAGAGAGAGAGAGAGAGAGAGAGAGAGAGAGAGAGAGAGAGAGAGAGAGAGACAGAGAGACAGAGAGACAGAGAGACAGAGAGACAGAGAGACAGAGAGACAGAGAGACAGAGAGACAGAGAGACAGAGAGACAGAGACAGAGACAGAGACAGAGACAGAGACAGAGAAACAGAGACAAACAAACAAAGAAACAAAGATAGAAAAAGAAAGAGAAAGTAACAGCGAGAAACAATAGATATTTCTCTCCCGCTACCCACAATACCCCACCTCCCGCCCATCCTATCCACAAAAAATTTCAAACTTCGCACTTATTCAAAAATCCACATTAACCCCGCTTTGGCTGTGACCTTATAGAGGGAGAGAGAATGGGTCGCCTTAACCCTTTCTCCGCGTGACCTTACATTTTGGTCACGTGACCTGGGAGAAATGAAAAGACGTGGTTGACCTGTTAAGGAGGTCAAGTCAATATCTCAGCATTTCGCCGTGTATACATGGACATATACAGATAAACGCACATGGCATAAATATACACATACACAGGATACAAAGACATGAACATGTAGATTTTCTAAGTATATCTAACACATTTACCTTCACACACTATACACAGAAGAAAAAAACAAAACAAACATAAATTTAGCACACTATTTTTTTTCTATTTTCCGTCTATCGTAAATTCTTTTAAAATCTATCTAGCTCTATTGATCAGCCCGCCAGTATATATATTACAAAATATATTTTTATCAATTCTTCATAAACTTAAGACTGCCACTCTCCCTCTCCAATCTTCCTGTACACTAATTCCCTTAAAAAAAAGTAACTTCTAGAACTGATCTCTTATAAATCATGAATAATAACAACAATAAAAATTATAGCAATAATGAGGATAATAATATTTATATAATAGCAATGATAATAATATTGATAATGATAGTAATGATAATAATGATAATTATAGTAATGATAATTATAATAAAAACAGTAATTACAATAATAACAATAACAAAAACAATAGCAGTCATAATAATAATTATGATCATGATAATGATTAAAATTTTACTAATAGCGCTAACACCAACACTAATAATAATAACAATAATGATAATGATAATAATAACAATAACTAGGAGATAACAATACCAACAATAACGATAACAATAACAACAAAACAAAGACCTAACAACAACAACAACAAACACAAAACAAAAACAAACCCAAATACAAAACAGAAAAAACAAAACAAAACCAAATATAAAACAGAAAAAGAAGAAAAAAAGAAAATTACCTTCAAACAGCCTTCTTCCTTTTCCCTCAGCAAAGCAATTAAGCATGCAGACCACGCCGTTCCCCCCCCCTCCCTCCCCCCCTCTCTCCTCCCTCCCCTCCTCATCTCCCTCCCTCCCCTCCCTCCCTCCTCCTCTCCTCCCCTCCTCCCCCCCCCCTGCTTCTCTTGACCTTCAGCTGAGCCTCGAGAGCCTCCCACCTCAAGGCGAAGTCGAGGCGCTGGTCAAGGCAAACACAGGAAGCTTAACAAAGTCTCGAAAAAAAAGAAAAAGAAAAAAATAGATATATATATATATATATATTTTTTTTTTTTGGGGGGGCGGGTAGGTCTATGGTGGTTTTGTCTTCTCAAAATTCTATGTCCGAAATTACAAGTCTATATAGTTGTCTAACTAAATCTAAATCTTTCTGCATATCTGTCTATATTTATATCTATGTCTGTATCTATATCTAATATTTTCTTTTCTTTCTTTCTCTCTCTCCCCCCCCCTCTCTCTCTCTTTCTCTTCTCCCTATATATATAATATATAATATATATATATATATATATATATATATATATATATATATATATATACATATATACATATATACATTTTATAGAGATATACAATATGCAGTAAAATATACACTATGATTCCCAAGTACCGGACCCCCCCCCCCCAGGCAAAAAAAAAAAAAAAAAAAAAAAAAAAAAAAAAAAAAAAGAGCAAAAAAAAATAAATAAAAAAACAGCAAAAAAAAAAGACAGAAAAAAAAAGACAGCAAAAAGAAAAAGGACAGAAAAAAAGGACAGCAAAGCATATAGTTTGAGCGCCTCTCGGCATCAGATAATGACAAAAGGCGAAGTCTACTAAAATTCGCCCAATGATTCCCAGGGCAGGTCAGGTCATCGATATTTTGGGTCACAGGCATCAATCATCTCGCTTTTATTTATGCCCGTGTATGAATCAATCGCTTTTTTTTTTTTTAAGGTTCACATTTTTTTTATTATCGATTTTAGATTGTATCCTGAATCGACTTTTTTTTTTTTTTTTTTTTTAAGGGTCCACGTTTTTTTTTATTATCGATTCTAGTTTATATTCTGATTTGATTTCGTTTTCTTTTTGTTCAACTGCGTCTTTTTTTTCAATTTCTGGTTTACGTTTATTACTCAATTTTCTCGATTTTTTTTACCTAATCGGATTTGGTTTTATCTTCACATTTTATTTCTTTACTAATTTTTATTTAATTTTCTGAAAATAATTCTTTGTATTTTCATAGTGGAATTTGTTAATTTTCCTGGATTACTTTCTCTTCTTACTTCCTTCATATTCATTTTGTTTCGATTTTCTTTTTCTTTTCTTTAATTCTATTTTCTGAATCACAATCACGTTCTTGCTGTTGTTTTTACTCATCAAATCTATCTCACTTTCTTATCTCAATTCACAAATCTTAAGATCTTCTCTCTCTCTATCTTAATTCCCTCTTTTATCCATTTTTCATTTTCTCCTTCACTTGTCTTTCCATCTCCTTGGTTTTATTTATCCTTCTTCTCAACATTGTTACTCATAAAACCTTTTTTTTTCTCATTCACTCGGCCAGTTTGTTGAAATTATGCGAGGACAATAAATATTCGTACATACTGGATAAATATTCGTACATACTCGATAAATATTCGTACATACTGGATAAATATTCGTACATACTCAATAAATATTCGTCCATACTCAATAAATATTCGTACGTACTCAATATTCGTACGTACTCAATATTCGTACGTACTCAATATTCGTACGTACTCAATATTCGTACGTACTCAATATTCGTACGTACTCAATATTCGTACGTACTCAATATTCGTACGTACTCAATATTCGTACGTACTCAATATTCGTACGTACTCCATATTCGTACGTACTCCATATTCGTACGTACTCAATATTCGTACGTACTCCATATTCGTACGTACTCAATATTCGTACGTACTCAATATTCGTACGTACTCAATTTCGTACGTACTCAATATTCGTACGTACTCAATATTCGTAACGTACTCAATATTCGTACGTACTCAATATTCGTACGTACTCAATATTCGTACGTACTCAATATTCGTACGTACTCAATATTCGTACGTACTCAATATTCGTACGTACTCAATAAATATTCGTACA